CCCACCAGTAAACAAAGAACACAGTCAATAGAGACGTAAAACCCCCAGGAGTTAACCAAGCCCTGTGTGTCCGCAGGTGTGACGTGGCTGGTGCTGGTCCCGTTGACCTACTTCCTGTGGACGGGCGTTGTCCTGGCGTGTGTGCTGGCCGCACTCTGGTACCTGCACGGCCGGCCGCGGGGGGGCTCCACTGGCCGCTCCAGTCTCTCCTCCGCCTCCACCCACAGGGGGCGCCACTCTGGTGACGTCACCGGCCTGTCTATCGGGGCGATGGTCCGGCGGGGGCGTGGTGCAGGAGATAGGGTGTCGGACGGCTGGTCGCTCCGGTCGTCGGGTCGAACCTCCAGAAGGAGTACAACAGAGGAGAACGTGAGGGCCGCACTAGAGGCCAGGGCCAGTGGCCGCGGGTCGGGCACACGGCGGGGGGACGCTGTCTTCCAGGCAAGGCACGGCAGACGAGATCACAACAACGACCACAAATACCACCACAACGACTACCCCAACAACCCCAACAATCACAACAACCACAACAATCACAACAACCACAACGACTACCCCAACAACCACAACAATCACAACAATCACAACAATCACAACAACCACCACCACAACAACCACCACCACCACCACGCACACACAGACAGCGTGTCCATCAGCTCTGTGGTGACCGTGAGCTCTGACAGCCGCGCGGGTCCCGGGGTCGTTGACCTCAAGTCCTCCATGGAGTCTCAGAAACTGCTGTGGGCGCCGGGCGGGACGCTACTGCCGGACTCTCTCTACCGGAAGTCACAGGCCGACGTGACAGCTCACGCACGCGCAGACAGACGTGCCAGGCCGGGGGGAGGTGAAGGTCAGGTGGAGGTCACAGAACTCTGCTCCAGCTTTGAGCACGTGGATCTCTCCGGTGAGCTGAGAGAGGGGGAGGGGAGTGGCGGGAGGGCGGGGAGCGGCAGGTCTACCCCCGGGGTGTCTAGGGGAACCAGAACCTCCTTCCTCACGGGCAGACACAGCGGTGAGCAGCCCGCCCCCACAATGTCCCCCCACCACGTGCATGGTGAGCAGTGTACAGTGACTGACACAGAGGAGTGTGAGTGGCGGGGCCGGCGGGCCAGGGGGCGGGGCTGGAGGGACAGGGCCACCCACCGGCCGCCCACACCGCTCAACCACCCGGATGTGGGATGCACGTCAGAGGACAAAAGTCACGCCAAACCCGTCACCACCAACACCACCAACAACAACGGCATCAACAACAACAACAACACCAACAACGACAGCAACGACAACAACAGTTTGGCCGACTGGCAGACCTCCCAGCGAGGGGACAAGGGTTGCCCCCACCCCGCCCAGGTGTACCCCC